TGACAAGACATAGGAGCACGTTCTCTCTGTACATCATTATAGTTTTTGGTTATACTATTTTTTCTCGCCGTTGGTATGGGAAAACCCCAAATTACAAAATGAGCCAAACTCACTGTTTATAAACGGCTCTAAGACCAAGGTCCAAGATTTACAGTTCTTTGTTTTTCTACACAGAACTCAGGCTTCTGCTTTTACAGCAATTCTTTTAAAATCAGTTGCCTGAATGACTTCTTCTGTTAATAACCCTGAACACCTGAGGAGGAAGTGGAGTGTGTGGTGGAAGCACACTGAAAATGCAACATTTTGGGTTTCTGTTGTGACACCTGGGCATGACAAAACTGCCAAGCTAAACTTCACAACAGCCTTTCACCATTTCCTATTATTATCTTAGGTTAATATTCCCCTAATTTGTTTTAAATGCTTGTTGCTTTGTAGCAATGAATGTCAGAACGTTGAGCCATTTGTTCCTCAAGGGATTTTCCACATGTTTTTGTTCTGTGTGGGTGTAGAAGAGGCTGTCATCTTTAAATGTGCAACTTATAGGATAGTGTAATATCCAAGTCTGAAGATAACATAGCTTTATGTTATCACTAGGGGTGTCAATAAATATACAGTATATACATATACATGTTTTGAATTAATTGTTTTCATTTGATATTACAAAGGGAGCCCAATGTGATGTATTACATTTGCTTGATTTGTCTGATGAGCAGCGGTTTCTGAACCTGCAAATGTTATTTTGTTGAAATGGCATTTTTACCTCACAAACTAACTACTCCTCTAATCATTTTAGTTTTCAGTTTCAGCATGATTGATTTTGCACATATTTACTTCATGTTGCAATAGTGACACATCATGCAAATGTGTCATACACTTCCTGTGCAAGAGCATTACAAGGCTTGAAAAGACAAAAATAAATATACAGGAAGTTAGCACCAAATAAACAAACAACAACAAACATGAACAAACAAGGAAAGGTATGATATTATGGGAATGTGAAATATATAGGTGTGTGTGTGTGTGTTATGGTCATGCATACATCAGCAGGCGGCACCCCCTCCCTACCTGGTAATGATGGGATGGTTCTGTCTCTCTTCTCGATCGCCCCTGACTCAATAGGAAACATCTCTTTCAGGGTTTTCTGTGAGCCAGAAACGTTACTTTTAAGAATGCAAACAAAGTATGGACAGCAAGGTTGGTTTTCACTTATTTTGTGCCTCAGAAAAATACATTTTAAATACAATGAACAGAAGGACCGTTTGCATCTAAACAGTCCCGTGACAGTGAAGTGAAGTGTCACTTGGCTGAGGTTCAGGTGTTTTTCAGTCGTGGGGCGGAACTCACGTGAAATGTGTGAATCTCCGGGTACCTCCGGTAGATGAGGTTCTCAGAAAGGTCGCTCCACTTCACGATCAGCATGTACACCTGCAAAACAAGTACAAACGAACACAGCGATCAACGTCACATGCCTTTGTTTTTAGATGCATTCAAAGATATTCACTAGCTTGTGTCCATGTAGGACTGCACGGCACGGTGTCCATTGAGGTTCGATGGACTCCAATAGTCCTGCTAAAGCCAGGTCCTGCCCAGCTGTTTTCATTGTTGTGCCTTGATACTTAAAAAAGTTGATTCATAGGAATGTGTCAAATCAAAGCATCTGTAATCTGCAATAATCAGATCTTCAAATGCAAAAATTCAAGTCGATCTCAAAACCATTGACAACAAAAAGCATTAGTATCAGTATCACCAGTGAGGACAACATACTTTTTCTAGTAAATAGCTTTGACTATTTAAATGGTCATAAACCCCTAGCCCTGGTGTGAGAAGCAGGATCAGTGTCTTACATAGTGCTGGCTGGGGAAGAAGCGCTTCTCGAAGCCCAGAAGCTCCACATGGCGGATATAAATCTGCTCCATTCTTCATTAAAGACTAAACCTCACTGCTTCTGGGAAGTGATCTGTGGATTGACAAGCTTATATACATATCCAGATTGTGTGTGCGTGTGTGTGACAATACGCTTACTACACTGGTAACTTCCTCTTTAGCTGTCTTTGATTCTGTCACTAAACTTTGAAGAATTCATGTGCAGCTTTTATATTGGCATTTATATACAGAGGAAGAGTGATTGAATTAAATGATCTCTTTATATTTGAGAAGATGTTTTTATTGATTTTGTCTATGTGGCAACAACAATTAAAGATGGCATTAGGCATTCAGTTTTTCACATTTTGTAAAGCAATACATCAATAAATGAGAGTAAAAGGCAGAGGTGGATATTAGAGAAGGGGAAGTGACACACTCTCTCTTCCCCTCTTCCCTTTCCCCACACACACAAATACAAACACACACACTATTGTGATTAGATCTTGTTATTGTTATTTTAGTAGGCTTTTTTAAAATGTAGATAGATCAATAACCTCCACAATGATTAAGTGACACCCATCATCAGCCTGAACAATTCTTGGTTGTCACAATGTAAACAAAAATCATCTATTAAGTAAGAAATAAACCATGACGATGTGTCCCGCTATTGAAAAATGATGTATGACTTACCGCATTTACCAACAACTTTTACACACATATTAGTTACTACTATTATTATTGTCATCTATAATGTTATTGGGTTTTATCAACTTAATCATGCAGCTGAAATTATAATATTCATCCGCGGTGCGTTGAGCATATTGTTTTTGTGTTGTCAGTGGAAAACATACAAAACAGGGAAACATCTGGTCGATGTTCGATTTGACTGTTAAAGTGAAACTACAGCCTAAAACACTTTGACATCGTTGTCATCATATGTCTATTGGTGATGTACAACGCACCCCAGTGCGTAGGTCCTATTTTACCGTTTAGTGAAGTATTTCACTTTGCTGCAGCTAAACTTGATTTCTGTAGACGCTACTACGTCACACGGAGACATTGCTGCAGTAGTTACAATGGGGTTTAATAGGAGAGTATGCCTTCAAATTGCTGTAGCATCAACAATAGCTATCAGATATTAGTTTAATTCCTATATGACAACAACTCAGGTGGTAGGTTCTGGCAGCGGGGAGCCCATATGGCCGATGCATCTAAGTTTCGACATGCGGCCCATGCGGTGACATTTCACGTGTTAGGCAAACGTGATAACCACTACACTATGGAAACTGCGCATCATCAAATTGTGGACATTTAAGAATTCATGTAGATACTACAATCGAGAAAGTTAGATGTCTAATGAAAGCACGAAAATGACTACCTACAACTATTTCTGTAGTGTAGTGATTATCATGTTCACGTTACACATGAAAGGTCCTCTGTTCGAAACCAGGCAGACACAATTGGGTCTGATAGACGGTTGAAATCGGACCTCAATGACTACTGACGCCTTGATGCAAGAAAGCTAAAGGTCTGGCCTTCCTTGTTTGAATCCCTGTCAACATCTACTTGGGACAAATGGCAGGGAAGGGTCTTGAAACGGTTTGTAAACCTTTGCATGTTGGGCGACCGTGATAACCACTACAGAAACTGCACAATGCAGCTTCCCTTACCTCATCAAATTGTGGTCACTTAAGAATTAATTTTGTCACTGAAACAGAGGGGTTCTGCCGGGTTTCGAACCGGGGAACTTTTGCATGTTAGGCGACTGTGATTACCACTTCACTACAGAAACTGCATTATGCAGCTTCCTGCACTTGATTAAATTGTGGTCATTTAAGAATTTATGTAGCTACTAAAACTGAGAAAATTAGATGTCTACGGAAAGCACAAAATCATTAGGCAAAGTACAAACGTACAGCTGTTTCTGTAGTGTAGTGGTTATCACGTTCGCCTCACACGCGAAAGGTCACCAGGCAGAAACATTTGGGTCTGATAGACAGTTGAAAGGTTGAGATCAGAACTCATTAATCCTTTCCTGGGGCTGCATTCATAAAGATTCTGAGATTACTCTCAGAGAGCTTCTAACTTAGCCAAAACAATTCTAGCATGGAGTCCTAGCATAGGAGTGATTCAAGAAACTGTTGAGAGTTGAAAATAGGGCCCTAGTGTTCCCGTCAGCTGTCCTGATTAGGGTTGAGTAGTATGTGGTCTTGGCTGAAGAAAGAGCATCCTTGTATTGAAGTATGTGATTATAATACATTTCTTTGTGAACTGCAAGTCCGGTTTTTACATATAGGCGCTCCAAACGACGGCCTTTAGTTTTGAGCTGTCGTAGCGCTGGTGTAAACCATGGAGCAGAGTGGGTAAAAGAAACAGTCCTAGTTTTTAGTGGTGCAAGAGTATTTAGCAGTCCATGAAGTCCGTCACTGTAGTGAGATACCAGTTCATCTGTGGTGGATACATTTTCTCTGCTAGGGAAGTCATCAATTCCATTGGAGAGGGCCAACAAGTCCATATTCTTATAGGGGCACTTGGCAACTCTGGCCATTTCTTCGCTGGTTTTCACTTTTGTGGTCGCATGTTTTCTCAACGAGCTCCCCCTACAGGTCTGGGACGTATATTACACAACACTGTCGTAAAAAAAACTCACTTGCGGCACCCTCCTCCCCCTTTCTACCGCTGCTCATGTGCATTTGTTGCCGGGTTTTTTCGTGTGGCGCGATGTCTACCGAGGTGGGTAATACATTATACACTGTATCATAGAACACTGACATGTATAGCCGGCGTGATTAACCGTTATTGAGGGGGGCGTGTGTGTTTACGTTGAATTACCGTAAAGCAGTTTGTGTTTCTCGCTCGTTCTCGCTTCTCGCGATACTTCCCATTTCCAATTTACCGGGACGGTAGTCCCAAAGTTGCAAGGCTGGTTTTCCACCGGGGGGCGCCGGGGGGAGCGGGGACAGTCACCGTTAACACCGGAACAGACCATTTAACCATCCAAATGATTTCCAGACGGGTTTATTAAGTTGAAAAAGTTGCCAAGTGCCCCTTTAAGAATTCATATAGCTGCTAAAAACGCCAAAATTAGATGTCTACTGAAAGCACGCGATTTTTAGGCGTAGAACACAGTCGCAGCTGTTTCTGTAGTGTAGTGGTTATCACGTTCGCTTTACACGCGAAAGGTCCCTGGTTCGAAACCGTGCAGAAGCATTTGGGTCTGATAGCTGTTTGAGATCGGAATTTATTGATCCTTTCCTGATGTCAATGCAAGTTTTCGCTTTCCTTGTTTGATATCATGTCAAAATCTGCTAGATACAAATGGCTTTCCCTTTAATGTTCTAAAAATGTATCAAATCCTGAAGTTTCTGCCCGGTTTCGAACCGGAGACCTTTCGCGTGTTAGGCAAATGTGATAACCACTACACTACAGAAACTGCACAATGCAGCTTCCTGCATCTCCAGAAATTTGGGTCATTTAAGAATTCATACAGCTGCTAAAAACGAGAAAAGTAGATGTCTACTGAAAGCGTGACATTTTTAGGCAAAGTACAGCCATACCGCTGTTTCTGTAGTGTAGTAATCACGTTCGCCTCACACGCGAAAAGTTCCCGGGTTCGAAACCGGGCAGAAACATTTGGGTCTGATAGCTGGTTGAGATCGGAACTCATTATTACTTTCCTGACGTCAATGCAAGTTTTCGCTTTCCTTGTTTGATATCATATCAACATCTACAATCACGTTAATGTTATAAAATTGCATTAAATTCCCAATGTTTCTGCCCGGTTTTGAACCGGAGCCCTTTCGCGTGTTAGGCGAACGTGATAACCGCAACACTACAGAAACTGCACAATGCAGCTTCCTGCACCTCCAGAAATTTGGGTCGTTTAAGAATTCATACAGCTGCTAAAAATGAGAAAAGTAGATGTCTGCTGAAAGTACGACATTTTCAGGCAAAGTACAAATATACAACTGTTTCTGTAGTGTAGTGGTTATCACGTTCGCCTCACATGCGAAAGGTCCCCGGTTTGAAACCGGGCAGAAACATTTGGGTCTGATAGCTGGTGAGATCGGAACTCATTGTTACTTTCCTGATGTCAAGGCAAGTTTTCGCTTTCCTTGTTTGATATCATATCAACATCTACTAGATACAAATGGCTTTCCCTTCTAAAAAATTCTAAAAATGTATCAAAATCCATATGTTTCTGCCCGGATTCAAACAGGGGACCATTCGCGTGTTAGCCGAACGTGATAACCAGTACACTACAGAAACTGCACAACGCAGCTTCCTGCGCCTCCAGAAATTTGGGTCATTTAAGAATTCATATAGCTGCTAAAAACGAGAAAATTAGATGGCTACTGTAAGCTCGAAATTATTAGGCAAAGTACAGCCATCCAGCTGTTTCTGTAGTGTAGTGGTTATCTCATTCGCTTTACGCGCGAAACGTCCCTGGTTCGAAACCGGGCAGAAGCATTTGGGTCTGATAGCTATTTGAGATCGAAACTCATTGTTACTTTCCTGATGTCAATGCAAGTTTTCGCTTTCCTTGTTTGATATCATATCAACATCTACAATCACGTTAATGTTCTAAAAGTGCATCAAATTCCTAATGTTTCCTTCCGGTTTTGAACCGGAGCCCTTTTGCGTGTCAGGCGAACGTGATAACCACTACACTACAGAAACTGCGCAATACATCTTCCTGCACCTCCAGAAATTTGGGTCGTTTAAGAATTCATACAACTGCTAAAAACGAGAAAAGTAGATGTCTACTGAAAGCGTGACATTTTTAGGCAAAGTACAGCCATACCGCTGTTTCTGTAGTGTAGTGGTTATCACGTTCGCTTTACACGCGAAAGGTCCCTGGTTTGAAACCGGGCAGAAACAATTGGGTCTGATAGCTGGTTGAGATTGGAACTCATTGATCCTTTCCTGATGTCAATGCAGATTTTGGCTTTCCTAGTTTGATATCGTGTCAACATCTCCCAATTGCTTTCACGTTAAAGTTCTAAAATTGCATCAATTTCCAACTGTTTCTGCCCGGTTTCGAACCAGGGACCTTTCGCGTGTTAGGCGAACGTGATAACCACTACACTACAGAAACTGCACAATACATCTTCCTGCACCTCCAGAAATTTGGGTCATTTAAGAATTCATACAGCTGCTAAAAACGAGAAAAGTAGATGTCTACTGAAAGCGTGACATTTTTAGGCAAAGAACTGCCATACTGCTGTTTCTGTAGTGTAGTGGTTATCACGTTTGCCTCACATGCGAAAGTTCCCAGGTTCGAAACCGGCAGAAACATTTGGGTCTGATAGCTGGTTGAGATCGGAACTCATTGATCGTTTCCTGATGTCAATGCAGGTTTTGGATTTTCTTGTTTGATATCATGTCAACATTTACTAGGTACAAATGGCCTTCCCGTTAATGTTCTAAAAATGTATCAAATTCCAGATGTTTCTGCCCGGATTCAAACAGGGGACCATTCGCGTATTAGGCAATGGTGATAACCACTACACGACAGAAACTGCACAACGCAGCTTCCTGCACCTCCAGAAATTTGGGTCATTTAAAGGGGCACTTGGCAACTCTGGCCATTTCTTCGCTGGTTTTCACTTTTGTGGTCGCATGTTTTCTCAACGAGCTCCCCCTACAGGTCTGGGACGTATATTACACAACACTGTCGTAAAAAAAACTCACTTGCGGCACCCTCCTCCCCCTTTCTACCGCTGCTCATGTGCATTTGTTGCCGGGTTTTTTCGTGTGGCGCGATGTCTACCGAGGTGGGTAATACATTATACACTGTATCATAGAACACTGACATGTATAGCCGGCGTGATTAACCGTTATTGAGGGGGGCGTGTGTGTTTACGTTGAATTACCGTAAAGCAGTTTGTGTTTCTCGCTCGTTCTCGCTTCTCGCGATACTTCCCATTTCCAATTTACCGGGACGGTAGTCCCAAAGTTGCAAGGCTGGTTTTCCACCGGGGGGCGCCGGGGGGAGCGGGGACAGTCACCGTTAACACCGGAACAGACCATTTAACCATCCAAATGATTTCCAGACGGGTTTATTAAGTTGAAAAAGTTGCCAAGTGCCCCTTTAAGAATTCATATAGCTGCTAAAAACGCCAAAATTAGATGTCTACTGAAAGCACGAGATTTTTAGGCGTAGAACACAGTCGCAGCTGTTTCTGTAGTGTAGTGGTTATCACGTTCGCTTTACACGCGAAAGGTCCCTGGTTCGAAACCGGGCAGAAGCATTTGGGTCTGATAGCTGTTTGAGATTGGAATTTATTGATCCTTTCCTGATGTCAATGCAAGTTTTCGCTTTCCTTGTTTGATATCATATCAACATCTACAATCACGTTAATGTTCTAAAAGTGCATCAAATTCCCAATGTTTCTGTCCGGTTTTGAACCAGAGCCCTTTCGCGTGTTAGGCGAACGTGATAACCACTACACTACAGAAACTGCGCAATACATCTTCCTGCACCTCCAGAAATTTGGGTCGTTTAAGAATTCATACAACTGCTAAAAACGAGAAAAGTAGATGTCTACTGAAAGCGTGACATTTTTAGGCAAAGTACAGCCATACCGCTGTTTCTGTAGTGTAGTGGTTATCACATTCGCTTTACACGTGAAAGGTCCCTGGTTCGTAACCGGGCAGAAACAATTGGGTCTGATAGCTGGTTGAGATTGGAACTCATTGATCCTTTCCTGATGTCAATGCAGATTTTGGCTTTCCTAGTTTGATATCATGTCAACATTTACTAGGTACAAATGGCCTTCCCGTTAATGTTCTAAAAATGTATCAAATTCCAGATGTTTCTGCCCGGATTCAAACAGGGGACCATTCGCGTATTAGGCAATGGTGATAACCACTACACGACAGAAACTGCACAACGCAGCTTCCTGCACCTCCAGAAATTTGGGTCGTTTAAAGGGGCACTTGGCAACTCTGGCCATTTCTTCGCTGGTTTTCACTTTTGTGGTCGCATGTTTTCTCAACGAGCTCCCCCTACAGGTCTGGGACGTATATTACACAACACTGTCGTAAAAAAAACTCACTTGCGGCACCCTCCTCCCCCTTTCTACCGCTGCTCATGTGCATTTGTTGCCGGGTTTTTTCGTGTGGCGCGATGTCTACCGAGGTGGGTAATACATTATACACTGTATCATAGAACACTGACATGTATAGCCGGCGTGATTAACCGTTATTGAGGGGGGCGTGTGTGTTTACGTTGAATTACCGTAAAGCAGTTTGTGTTTCTCGCTCGTTCTCGCTTCTCGCGATACTTCCCATTTCCAATTTACCGGGACGGTAGTCCCAAAGTTGCAAGGCTGGTTTTCCACCGGGGGGCGCCGGGGGGAGCGGGGACAGTCACCGTTAACACCGGAACAGACCATTTAACCATCCAAATGATTTCCAGACGGGTTTATTAAGTTGAAAAAGTTGCCAAGTGCCCCTTTAAGAATTCATATAGCTGCTAAAAACGCCAAAATTAGATGTCTACTGAAAGCACGAGATTTTTAGGCGTAGAACACAGTCGCAGCTGTTTCTGTAGTGTAGTGGTTATCACGTTCGCTTTACACGCGAAAGGTCCCTGGTTCGAAACCGGGCAGAAGCATTTGGGTCTGATAGCTGTTTGAGATCGGAATTTATTGATCCTTTCCTGATGTCAATGCAAGTTTTCGCTTTCCTTGTTTGATATCATGTCAAAATCTGCTAGATACAAATGGCTTTCCCTTTAATGTTCTAAAAATGTATCAAATCCTGAAGTTTCTGCCCGGTTTCGAACCGGGGACCTTTCGCGTGTTTGGCAAACGTGATAACCACTACACTACAGAAACTGCACAATGCAGCTTCCTGCATCTCCAGAAATTTGGGTCATTTAAGAATTCATACAGCTGCTAAAAACGAGAAAAGTAGATGTCTACTGAAAGCGTGACATTTTTAGGCAAAGTACAGCCATACCGCTGTTTCTGTAGTGTAGTGGTTATCACGTTCGCCTCACACGCGAAAAGTTCCCGGGTTCGAAACCGGGTAGAAACAGTTGGGTCTGATAGCTGGTTGAGATCGGAACTCATTGTTACTTTCCTGACGTCAATGCAAGTTTTCGCTTTCCTTGTTTGATATCATATCAACATCTACAATCACGTTAATGTTATAAAATTGCATTAAATTCCCAATGTTTCTGCCCGGTTTTGAACCGGAGC